GACCGCCCTCTCAAGAAACCCGCCTCCGGCCTCTCCCCGGCTCCGCCCCCAGTTCACGACCCCGCCCCCTTCTGCAAGGCGCTCTGGTTCTCTCCGGTCCAACTTCCGGGTCACGCCCCACGTTTTGTCTGGTCCAATAGGCGGAAGGCTGAGGATCGACGTTGGGAACAGTAACCAGTGAACGCCGAGGGGCGGGGTCGACGGCCGCCACCACGCGGACCTTTAGTAGCCAGTGGGTATTTGAGACCATTGCAAACTGTTTGGCTTTTTCATAGTGGAGAGGCTGGGCTTGTGCCAGGTTATCCTACTTGCCTTCTATGTAGGTGTCTCTCTCCCAATCAAGATCCCTTGTGGTCCACCCACAGAAGCCCCTTCCAGATGGGACTCAGAATCAGCAGCTTCTGGATTGCAAAACAAGGCACATCCCCCTCCTGTCAGTGATTCGTCACCTCACGGATACTAATTCTGCTTCATTCACGAAAACATCCTCTCCCAATTGTAATGAGTTTTCTTTAACTAGAATTAAAAATTGCCACTGAGCCCTCCACAGCTGTATTTTTTAACTGGGTTTCTCTTTGAAGCCTGATTCTTTTGCACTTCGTCTTTTTATCTTGTGTGCCATTAAAAGACCAGAATCCTTTGCTGCTGTGGACAAGAAAACCTCTGGAAACCTAAAAGTTTTGGTGAAGGAAGAGAGAATATGAATGCGCAGAAGCAAAAAAATATGCAAATTGTTCCTCAACCAATCTTTCATTTTGTATACACTGCAATGCTCAGGACTTGGAAGTCCACAGTATACCACCTCACCTTCATAAAAATCGTTGCCCTTTCAATCTCACATGCAAATTCTCATCTACTTGAATTCTATCCACATGACTGTCACCAAACTTAACCCTAACACTAACCATCAACAGGAATCCCAAGGTCCCAAATAGCTGTACTTCAAATCCTACACTATTCCGAACCCCAAGGCCAAATCTAGTGCTGATACTATGAATCCCACACTCCAATACCCGGGTACTGAAATTTCCAGACTATCACTGACTCAAACCTTAACCCTAAGCCTAACCCTAGCACGAGCTCTAATCCAGGTACTTGCATTCCTAAATTATTGCTAACCCTAACCCTAAAATTAACACTAACACTAAACAAAAAACCAATAGTACAATACAAAGGTCATGAAATTTTGACTCCATGTAATCATAAACCTAAATCAAACCCTAAGGTCAACCCAAACACTACACATTATATATACACTGCATTGCTCAGGTACTTCAAAGCCCACAGAACGCCTCATTAAAAATCCTTTCCCTAACCTTCATTCTCACGTGCAAATTCTCCACTGCTTGAATTCTACTCATATCCCTGCCACCAAACCTAACCCTAACCATCAATGTGATTCCCAAGATCCAAACACAGCAGTATTTCAAATCCTGCACTATTCCTAACCCCAAGGCCAAATCTAATGCTGATACTAACTATGAAATCCACACTCCAATACCCAGGTACAGAAAGTCCCAGACTATCACTGAACCAAACCCTAACCCTAAACCTAGAGCTGCCAGGAGCCCTGACCCAGATACATACATTCCTAAACCTAACCCTAAAAGTAACACTAACACTACCCATCAAACCCACACTACACAACACTGGTTGTGAAATTTCCACCCCATTCCTAACCCTAAAAATAACTCTAACATCTCCCTGAACCCAAACACTGCAAATTATATCTGCATTGCAATGCTAAAGTACTTGGAAGTCCAGGGTATACCTCATGCTCATAAAAATAGTTGGACTAAACTTCATTCTCACATGCACATTATCAGGTACTTGAATTCCTCTATATCACTGTCACAAAAGCTAACCCTAAACCTAAGCATCAACATGATTCCCAATTTCCAACACACCAGTACTTGAAATCCTATACTGTTATAAACCCTAAGGCCAAATCCAATGCTGATAAAATCTATGGAACCCACACTTCAAAACTGAGGTACTAATATTCCCAGACTAACATTACTCAAATCCTAACCCTAACTTAACCCTAGCATGAGCCCTATTCAAGGTACTTACATTCCTAACTCATTCCTAACCCTAACCCTAAAATTAACTCTAACACTAACAATCGAACCCATGCTACACTACACAGGTCATGAAATTTTGACCCAATTCCTATCCCTAAACCCAAATCTAACCACATCCTCAATCAAAACACTGCGAATTATATCTGCAGTGCAATGCTAAGGTAGTTGGAAGCCCACAATATACCTCACCCTCATAAAAATCCTTGCCCTACCCTTCTTTCTCTCATGTAAATTATCAGGTACATAAATTCCATCCATATCCCTGGCACCAAACCTCACCCTAACCCTAACCATCATCACATTTCCCAAGTTCCAACAAAGTGATAATTGAAATCCTACACTATTACTAACCCTAAGGCAAAATCTAATGCAGATATTATGAAGCCAACACTCCAATACCCAGGTACTGAAATTCCCAGACTATCATTGGCTCAAAACCTAACCCTAGCATTAGACCTAAGTCAGGTATTTACATTCCAAAAATCACTGCTACCTCACCCTCATAAAAATACTTGCCCTAATCTTCTTTCTCACACGTAAATTATCAGGTACCAGAATTCCATCTGTATCCCTTTCACCACACCTAACACTAACCCTATCAACATTCTACCCAAGTTACAACACAGGGTTACTTGAAATCCTTTACTATTCCTAACTCTAAAGCCAAATCTAACGCTGGTACTAACTATGAAACCAAAACTGCAATACCCAGGTACTGCAATTCCCAGACTAGCACTGACCAAAACCAAAACACTATGCATAGTGCTAACATGATTCGTGACACAGGTACTTACATTTCTAAATCATGCAAAACCATAACCCTAAAATTAACACTAACGATGAAACCCATACTAGAGTACACAGGTCATGAAATTTGGACTCCATTGGAACTGTAAATCTAAATCTAAACCTACCGTGAAGCCAAACACTACACATTATACATACACTGCAATGCTCAGGTACTGGAAAGCCCACAGTATACCTCACCCTCATAGAAATACTTGCTCTAACCATCATTCTCACCTGGAAATCAAGTACTTGAATTCCATCCATATCCCTGTCACCAAAACTAACCCTAACCCTAACCATCAACATGATTCCAAAGTTCCAAAACAGCGTTACTAGAAATGGTACACTACAACTAACCATAAGGCCAAATCTAATGTGATACAAAATATTAAATCCACACTCCAATACCAAGGTACTGAAATTCCCAGACTATCATTGACTCAAACTCTAACCCTTACCCTAACCATAGCACAAGCCCTAATCCAGGTACTTGCATTTCTAAATCATTGCTAACCCTAATACTAAAATTAACACTAAAGTAAATAGTGAATCCATAGTACGCTGCACAAGTCATGAAATGTCAACTCCATGGAATCGTAAAACTCAATCTAAGCATAATAACCCAAACAATACACATTGTATATACACCGCCGAGCTCAGGTACTTGGAAGCCCATAGTATACCTCACCCTCATAAACATCCTAATCCTAGCAATCGTTGTCAAATGCAAATTCTCAGATACTTGAATTGATCCGTATCTCTGTAACCAAACCTAACAATAACCCTAACCATCTACGTGATTGCCAAGGTCCAACACAGTGGACTTCAAATCCTACACTATTCGTATCACTAAGGCCAAACCAAACTCTGATACAAACTATGCAACCCACACTCCAATACCCATGTACAGAAATTCCCAGACCATCACTGACCCAAACCAAAACCCTAACCCTAGTGCTGCTACAATGCCTAACACAGGCACTTACATTCTTAAATCACCGATAAACCGTAACCCTAAAATTAACACTAACACCAACCACTAAACCCATACTATGCTAACAGGTTCTGAAATTTCGACCCCATTCCTAACCCTAAACCTAACCCGAAACCTAACTCTAAACCCATTCTCAAAACAAACACTACAAATTATATATGCACTGCTATGCTAAGGTACTTGGAAGCCCACAGTATACCTCACCCTCATAAAAATCCTTGCCCTAACCTTCATTCTCACGTGTAAATTATAAGGTATTTGAATTTCTTCAATATCCCTGTCACCAGACCTAGTCCTAACCCTAACCATCAAAATGATTCCCACGGGCATACACATCAGTATTTCAAATCTTACACTATCCCTAACCCAAAGGCCAGCTCTAACGCTGATACTAACTATGAAACACACACTCCTACACCAGGTACAGAAAAGCCCAGACTATCACTAACCCAAACTGTAACCCTAAACCTAGAGTTACAATGAGCCCTGACTGAGGTACTTACATTCCTAATCATTCCTAACCCTAACCCTAAAATTAACACTAACTCTACCCATCA